ACCAATGAAAAGCCATATGGTTGCAAATACTGTGCAAAACAGTTTACATCGAATCAAAACTTAAGCAATCATATGAAAGTTCACGTGAAAGAGTTTCTGTTCCATTGCGCTGGCTGTTTGCAAGGCTTCGATGAAAAAGATACCAAAATGATCCACGAAACAGGTTGCATGGCTCGTCGCTACGAGTGCCATGTGTGCAAGCAATCTTTTGGAACAAACAAAACAAATTTACTTAATCACGTGCGTGTTCATAACGGCAACAAATCATTCGAATGCACCGAATGCCAAAAACTATTTTCAACCAATTGGAATCTCACTAAGCAGATGGAACTTCACATCGGTCCACGGTCGTTTCACTGTTCCAGATGTCGAATGGGATTCACAAAGGAAAATGAAAGAAATACACATGAAGGCAAATGCAATCGACGTATATACGAATGTTATGCTTGCGGCAAATTCATTGGTAGCTCGGAAGCACATTTAATAAGTCATATGTACAATCATACAGGCGAAAAAAAATTCAAGTGCCAACATTGTTTGAAGAAATATACACAGAAATGCCGTCTCGATGAGCATATGAAATCACATACCGAAAATCTTCCGTTTAAATGTTCGATTTGTCGCCTCGGTTTTTTGAAGCAAACTCAACGCAAGGTGCACCAGAAGACCTGTTTCAGGAAAGGCTACGAATGCTATTTGTGTGGAATATTCTTTGGCTGGCTCAAACCTAGATTGAAAGGACATATGACGAAGCACACAGGCGAAAAGTATTTCAAATGCAAGCTGTGTGAACGCAATTATACCCGAAGCTGCAGTTTGAAAAGACACATCAATCGAAGTCACTATGGAAAAATGGATTAATATCGATCCGCTGGTGCAAAGGGCATTTGAAAATCATTTTGAACTATTATTATTCTTTCTATTACATTTATTCTCAAACATTTATCAGTTATACAAAGTTGATTCTTTACATTTTCTTCTTAAAATTAATAATCGAAATAAATGAAAATAATTTAATCGTGAAAAAGATTAATTATTTACTTTATGAAAATGAATCTAATTTAAAATTGAAAATTACATAATTGCTACTTTTTTGTTGGTCTATGCTTCTTTTTGTAGCTTGATGTTCTATTGGAATCGTCTGCTTTCAATGTATTCTTCCAAAATGTTTGTGGTCACCGGTGTTCTAATGCTCTCACATATAGCTGCAAAATAAAAAAATGAATTTAATTAAAAATTTCTTAAAAATGCCATTTTATATTTTCATAGAATCAATACTTACCGCGAGCCGTGTTGAAACTATTTGGATACGATTTGTCCGTTCTTTCACGCATGAAAACCCACTCATTATTCTCAAATTTGCATTCGATGATTTTATTATCGTACTTATTAAGATCTTTTGATAATTTGATCGTTGCAAATGGTTTTTGTAATCGACCGACATACAAATATCCGACTTTTCTGGTTACGATGCTACGAAAACGAATAGAAAAAAGAAACATTAATTTATTTGGTAAAATTAAAAGAATTGTACAGTAGATCCATTACGGTATCCGAATACTTACCCAGCACTTTCTGTGTGAATTTTCAGTTTGAAATCAACCGAATTCATATTTAATGGCTTCCATTTCAGTACATCAAAACATTGGCCGGGAATATACGGATCGGCTGATGGCTGAAAGACAAGACCATCTGGTTCGTGGCCCAGATTTTTTGTGAATTTTGGTTCGATTAGTTTTTTCGCTAGTGCCACATCCCAAAAATCTTTATTGCGCACACTGAACGGTTCACTCATTTTATTTATTAAACCACGTTTCATTGCTTCATAGCGGGGATCTGAAATAAAATAAGATGAGAAGACTCGATTTTAGTAAGAACAACAACAATAGAAAAAAAACAAAAAATAAAGCAAATCTTACCGATGATATATTCTTTGATGCATTGCTCTCGGCTGAATAATTCTTCCGAATAGAATTCATATTCCATGTAACTGTTTCCGTTGTAACATACGACATCGTACACCAAATACTGTGGAAAGCTTTGACCTTCCACTTTGTCGATGACCATTTCACCATCGATGAGCGTGTCATAGATATGGGTATTTAGGTCCTCCCAACACGGAAACTGGATGCCAAATACTTGAAAACAAGCATTGTTACGATCAAAGAAGTAAATTTCATCTTTTTTGCGAATCAACATCATGTAACGTGTTCCATCTGCTTTCCATGATACACGATACGGTTTTGTGGATAATAGTTGTAAATTTTGTATGTCCATTGAAACGGGTTGGGAGCCAGGAAATCCGTTCCGTTCAAAATTGCACATTTTTCGAATGGTCTCTTGTAGTTCACCAAGTCGAGGCTGTAATTGACAAAAAAAAAAACAAACAAAAATTATCAATGAAAAGTATTAAGCGATTTCTACAAAAAAAAATACTGGCAAATTACAGTACACACTTTTGCTGCTTAGGAATTGAAAAAAAAAGATGAAAATTACCTGATCTGTTACTAGATGTACACCGTTTACACCAGCCATAAATGTTGCATTGAAATTTTGAAATTCCATTCGTTGCTTCTTGGTACTGCCATTTCTTGTGCCGTTGCCATCATTTTCATATTTTCGTTTAATTGTGCTTGGCTGGTATTTACTTTGATTTTGACCACCATAGTATCTATTGTTATCCATCTTTATCTTACAACCACAATATATTTTCCAAAAAAAATGATTAATTTTGCAAAGAAATTTCACTGTGCGTCAAACTGATCTTCGAGAGATGCTTGTCACTTGAAAAACAGAAATGTTCTGATGTTTGTCTCAATATAGTACCACTTTTATAGATTTTCACCTGAAATTTTACTCAGTATTGCC